TATAAGGTGGGATAATTAATACCCCATGGAGTGAAACACACATTTATGAATGAGAGAATCAAGCAATTAAGTTATTCACTTATCTATTCTTGGATGGACTGTTCTAAGACATATTTCATAAGGCTTCTCACAAGACAATCCCATGAGGTAGGACAACTAGTTGTTTCTAAAACCGAGAAGTAATGCCGGCATCAATCAGTAAAGCACCGTTGAACTTCCTCTCCCAACCCTTTTGTCTCACTCTTCTTTTTCCTTATTTACCATTAAATGTTGCTGCTTGCCTGGTGGCTCAGATGGTAAGGAATCTGTCTGCAATGTGGGAGACCTGGGTTTGATCCCTGGGTCGGGAAGATCTCATGGAGAAGGGGATGGCTATCCACTTGCAGTATTCTTGCCTGGACATTTCCATGGACAGAGGAGCCTGGTGGGCTACAGTTCATGGGGTCACAGAGTGGGAAATGACTGAGCGACTAACACTTTCTTACTTACATAAGCTTTTATTTGGGGGGAACCCAGGATAATGGAGTCACTAAAGTTGCAAAAATCTAGTGGCAGAGAGAATCCAGCCTAAGATGTAAGGGTATTCTCTGTTTTTGGAGAGGCAGAAACTCTGTTCTTCTGGTCTCATTGAAACAGAAGGGAAAGGAAGACAGGTAAGAAAACATTGTTGGTCAGATGCATGTATATCCTCGGCTTCCTGTTCTGGCTTGAAATCACAGACAGGGGGCTGTTGGATACAATGAAAATAAATCTCAAAATATATGAGTATTTCCCTAACATTTCCCATTAGTATCTCTGGCTGGAGAACAATGTGCAAAGTAACGGCATAAAAACATCACATAAGATTGAGCAAGGAGAGATAAGCAGTCAAGAACTGTTGTGTCTGGACCCAGGAGCAGTAAGACAGCTTTCCTGGACCCTTGCTGCCTCTGGCAAGGACTTAAATAATTCTACCTGCCTCCTGAGAAGTCTAGTCAAGAAGCAGACATGGAAGAACGGACTGGTTCCAAATTGGGAAAGGAGTATGTCAAGGCTGTATTTTGTCACTTTGCTTATTTAACTTATATGCAGAGTACATCATGCAAAATGCTGGACTAGATGACGCACAAACTGGAATCAAGATTGCCGGGAGAAATATCAATAACCTCAGATATGCAGATGACACCACCCTCATGGCAGAAAGTGAAGAGGAACTTAAGAGCTCTTGATGAAAGTGAAAGAGGAGAGTAAAAACACTGGCTTGAAACTCAACATTCAGAAAACTAAGATCATGGCATCTGGTCCCATCACTTCAAGGCCAATACATGGGGAAACAATGGGAATAGTGAGAGACTTTATTTTCTTTGGCTCTAAAATCATAGCAGCCATGAAATTAAAAGACACTTGCTCCGTGGAAGAAGAGCTACGACCAACCTAGATGGCATATTAAAAAGAGGAAAAAGGTCTTCTTTGCAGACAAAGGTCCATCTAGTCAAAGCTATGGTTTTTCCAGTAGTCATGTCTGGATGTGAGAGTTGGACCGTAAAGAAAGCTGAGTGCCTAAGAATTATTGCTTTTGAATTGTGGTGCTGGAGAAGACTCTTGAGAGTCTCTTGGACAGCAAGGAGATCAAACCAATCAATCCAAAGGAAATCAACCCTGAATATTCATTGGAAGGACTGATGCTGAAGCTGAAGCTCCCATACTTGGCCATCTGATGTGAAGAGCCGACTCAATGGAAAAGATTCTGATGCTGGGAAAGATTGAAGGCATGAGAAGGAAGTGACAGAGCATGAGACGGTTGGATGGCATCATCAATTCAATGGACATAAGTTTGAGCAAACTCCAGGAGATAGTGAAGGACAGGGAAGCCTGGTGTGCTGCAGTTCATGTGGTTGCAGAGAGTTGGACACGACTGAGCAACTGAACAACAACTACATCTTCCCTTCTTATCTCTCAGGTCCATCACTACCACTCTAACCTGTGTGTATTTCTCCAGGCCATCCTCTAGCCAGCATTTCTTGCCTGGACTAATAGTAGCTTTTAAGCTGATTTCTCTGATACCAGTTTGGATACCTCAAATCCTTGCTCCATATAGCCCTAGAACCAGCCTAAATTAAGGTCTGTCTACTTGATATTTTCATACTTACAACCCTTTATGGCTTCACATTTCACACAGGACATATTTCTGGATCAATAGCTTGGAATATGAGTGTTTCCCTGCTGCTTTGTCTCCAACCTTGCTTCTCATTAATCCTTGCTTTGTGTTTTTCTGTCAAAAAACCCCAACCTTTGGAGTTTCCCCCACCCCATACATGTCACTTACTCCCTTTGAGCTGTTGCTCCTTCCACTCATTAGACAGAATACATGTTTCTGCCATGCCACCTCATACTTCTGGCTAACTCTCTCTCATCCTTTAAGATGATCTTCTCCTGGAAGTCTTCCTTAGCCACTCTCACCCTAAGTGAGTTATACTTTCCTGAGCTACAATAGCTCTACCCTCTGCAGAGCTCAGTAACTTATTTAGTGTGTGGTAAGGTTAATTTCATTTATATATCAGTTGCTATCCCCACTAGATAATGAATAGTCATAGTAGAGAATGTATTCTTTTCATATTTTCATTTCCAGACCTAACAGCACAAAATGTGTATGTGAGTATACACACATGTGAAAATGAATTTGAGCAATTTTGACTTGTATTTATTCCTGTATTTTTAACTATTCATTACCTCTTTAGAGAATTAAGATTGCAAAGTAAAGACATTATGAGTCATTGACTTCATAAATTATTTTGCATCAGGTAAAAGACTAAATTTTATAATATTCCTGCTTCTTTCGAGTACGATGGGAAATCTAATTTGCTACTGTCTTATTTATAGATTATAGGTCTTATTCTTTACAGATATGCTTAGCTTATGCTGTAGATGATATTGATACCATTTGCTCAGCTCTTACTACATGTCATGGATTCTGATAAGCATTTTGCATATAGTATTTTCTCTTCACAACACACCTGTGAGCTTAGTATCAGTGAACTTTTTGCACATATTAAAACTAAATTTCAAAGAATTTAGGTGAGTTGCACACTTAGCAACTGAAAGACATTTGTAAAAACCAAGCTCTAGCTGAACTCAAAACATGCATATTTTTAAACCTTTTTTTGGCCATGGATAAAATGCCTTCATAACAGATATCCTTAAAAAGGGCTGTTTTATGAGAGAAGTTCACATGTTTTCATCTTCAAAGACATTTTTCACAAAAAATCTTATTTTAAAATTTGAATAATTCCTTTATATACAGTTTAAATATTTAGAAAGTTTAATTAAGTATGTAATTTGAGGAAAGGGGTGAAAAACAAACAAAAAAAGCCTCTCTATATATCCTTTTCCATTACTTCTTAACTATTTTCTATCACTTCATAATTGTTAGAATTTTACGATTGATTAAAATGGCTATTTAACTTACTCAAATATCAACTTAAAATCAAATGATAAAAAAAATAAATAAATAAATAAATAAATAAAAAAAAATCAAATGATTTCTGATAAGTTATAGCTCCAGTATCCCTAATCAACTAATCTTCACAATTATAATATATTCTTATTTGCTAGGGTGTTTTCTCCAAATTTTGATCATTTCCCATAAGAGACAAGGTCATTTGGTCATTTCCCATGACCAAGACAATGAGGAAAGAACAGAGTTCTTTCCAAGGACTTTGTTACTTCCATTCTGCTCTCTTCTCTCACCTCCACAATCCATGGATTGCCACCCACACTCCACAAGTAGAGAAAAAACTAACTGAGAAAGCTCTGGTATGTCTATATATTTATTAGCACGACATCATTTGGTGTTTTCCTATTGCTGTTAATTGCATCACAATTATATTCTTAATTCTCTTTCCCTTGAAGCCACGGCTCATGCTCTTCTTCATTTAAGTTGGTTATGCCTTACAAAACATCACTATCATGGGAACATAAAGAAATATTTCAAGTGTAAACCAATTTTTGAAAGAGACCATAGTTGCTGAACTTAAAATGTTTAACTACTATATTATTAATCTCTCCCAACTCCTTTATCTTAAATATCCTACAAATACCTTGCTTTATTCCATAATATTTTGTCTGTAAGTTCTGATTACAGAACAAAAAATGTACACACTTATTTCCTCTTATTCAGAATATTTCACATAACCACATTAAAAGTATATACACTGTGCAGTTATGTGGAAACTATTTTCATTTTCTTGTGCAGCACTAGCTTCACTACCAGAGCCAGAAATGTAGACTGGGCTTTCTTGGATGACAGTCTTAGGAACATTTGAAGAAGATGAAGAAAATGCCCTAAAGCATGTTTTGATATCTGTGTAGTTATTGGACAAGATGACTTCTTAGGTGCCTTTAAACTCAGTCATTTAATTATTCTTTAAGTTTTTCGTCAACTTCTCTCTTTGTGAAGCATTCTCTTCAGAGCAGCTTTGACCTCTTTATTCCTGACTATAGATCAGGGGGTTGAGCATGGGATTGAAAAGGCTATGAAACAGCAAAAGGTACTTTTTCCCTTCCTTAGAGTCCCCATATCGGGGCCCAACATACGTGATAATGGCTGTGCCATAAAAGAGCCCAAACACACAGAGGTGGGATGAGCAAGTAGAGAAGGCTTTCTGGCGCCCTTCTCCTGACCGGATCTTTAGGATGGCACATAGAATATGAATATAAGATACCACAATTGAGGAGAATGGTCCCACCAGCACAGACACTGCCCCAGCCAAAACCACGGTCTCATTAATATGGGTGTCTGCACAGGCCAGCTTGAGAACAGCTATGTTCTCACAGAAAAAGTGATTAACTTGCTGGGGCCCACAGAAGGGTAATGGTAGGAGTAACAGCAGGTGGACTAGGGCTAGGAGGACTCCAAAAACCCAAGAAGTCACTGCCAGGGTGATACAGACTCTCCAGCTCATGATTACTGGATATTGAAGTGGGTGGCAGATGGCCACATACCGATCATAGGACATCACCACCAGGAGAAGACACTCGGTGTGGGCGAAACTCAAGAAGAGAAATGTCTGTGTGATGCAGCCAGCAAAGGAGACGGGCTTGGCTGGACTCAGGAGGTTGACCAGCGTCTGGGGCACCATGTTGCAGGCATAGGCCACGTCAACGATGGCCAGGTGTGAGATGAAGAAGTACATGGGGGTGTGCAGTCTGGAGTCCAGTGAGATGAGCCCCAGGATGACCCCGTTCCCCAGCAGGGTGAGGACATAGAACTGGGAGAAGAGCCCAAAGAGGAGCATCTGAGTCTTTGTGTCAAGGGGAAACCCCAGTAGGATGAATTCTGTGACAGAGGTCTGATTTCCCTCCATCTCCCTGTGAAAGAGACAATGAATCTTGCCAAATCACAATGTCCAAGGGAAGAGTTTTAACATGCTGAACCTTTGTCCGTCACTGTTTATTCCCTAATAAAACATCTTCAATGATATTTTTGCCCTGTTAGTCATTTAATAAATGAAAACTATGCATGCCACATGAGACAGAAGGAAACATTTTCACCATGGTATGTTAAATGCTAGTATTTGGAAGTCCTAGTATTCTGTTATAGTAGTCAATAAATCTTTATTCCCAAACCAACTTTTATCACAGCTCAAAATATATTAATGCTTAAATTACCTTCATAGCAGTGGAGTTTTTCTCAGTCTGTGCTGATTATATCAGAAGTTTGCCCGTGTGTGCTGCTGTGTACATATATACATGTGTGTAAATTTGCACTACTGTCTTTACATCTATATATGAAGGAAGGAAGAAGAATGAGGAACATGTCAGTGATTCGTCTATCAGGTTGTCTCACAGATTTGTGCCTTTCATAAGTGACTTACTTGTGGGCTTGTGATCTTTACTGATAGCATAACACAATTAATTTGAGAGCATGGTGAGCAGTTTGTTACAACTTCAGTTAAATTTAAAGTAGAGACCTTTGTTGTTTGATTTTTGTACCCACAATGGGTATTCTGATCACACCGTCTCATGATCCTTATATTACCCCTGTTGCCCCTCTTATATCCTATATAGATATTTATATTCTATATCTTTAAGTATGTTTACATACATACACATATATACAGACATATATACCATATTCATATGTTTATACATATGTGTGTGTTTATGTATATACACATACATATATGTATATTTATCTATACTTGAGTTTTTCCCAATATTTTCACCATATCCTACAGTAAAACATCTGCTGGGAACATATATGCATAAATATATATATGTATATATATATACAGACATATATATGTTTTGAATCTCCACTATGTGCCATGTACTTGGTATTTTCTTTTCTATATTATTCCATTCTATTTCATTAGTAAAAATGCTGGTTGAATGATTTCATGGTGGGTCGTAACCTAGGATTTAAAAAATAATTGGTCTATATCCAAGGCTAGAGCTAAAGCCCTAACTGTAGAGTCATCATCACAGAATCTTTTATATATTTTATACCTTCTTAACTCTAATGTAAAAGTTATTATTTATCCAGAATCTTTAGTTTGTTGTGGCTTATCAAATTTTTAAAAATCATCTCACAATAGAGTAGGTTTGAACCACTGTAACTTTTAAACCACTGTTTTCTTGCTTGTCTGACACTACAGCCTTCGTCAGTCCAGAATCCATCCGAATTTCACTAAAATATGAATCTAAAAAAATTCCTAATTAAGTTCTTCTCTTTAAGTCCCCATTAAAATTTTCTGATAAGTTAATGTTTGAAAGGCTTCATAAACAAAAGTTGATAAACTTTCACCCTGCTTCAAAGGGAGAATCAAAATTCATAGTAGAAATTACTGGGAGATGATGACTGTCTTATTAAGAAGTAACTTTATAACAATGAGAATCACCTCCTTGAAAACTGGTTGTTATACTAGGACTGAACTTTATGTCAGTGAATGCTTTAAATCAAAGATTGATTAATCATCTATTCAAGATGGGATTCCTTGTGTTATGCTGAGGTCTTTTCCAACTATAGGATTCACTGGCTTTCAATGTGTAGAAAAGTGTTAACCATTTTCACTTCAACTTGCCTGCAATACTTGGGGCCACCTAAATTAGCAATGATGTTTGTAAAATGTCACATACTAAAGCACATAAGAAACTAAAGTAGAAGAACTGAGTGGCACCTCATCTTCCTCCTATCTGCAAGTAGTTAAAACACAAAACATAAAATCCACAGATATTTACTAAACACATCCTATGTCTTGCTACAAGTTTCAGCTAAGTATATACAAGATAGCCCTTGTCTGCTGGTGTATACAACTTGCTTAGAATGATAAGACTGTTAAAAGAACACACAAAGATGAAAATTCTCATATTTAATGACTCAACAAAAGAAAGTTCATGCTAAAAATAAAATCTTCTGGACACTCCTCTGTAACAAACTCATTTTGTAGTCAATTTAGCCCATTATTTCATGAAGACACTACTTAATTTCATGAGGTGATAGAAAGGTTTGTAAGGAAATCTCTCAAATAGCTATTTATCTTACAGTTTAAATAAGAAATTCAACACTAAATGCATCAAAGTAATAACCTATATTAGTTTTTCTAAAAGAGATGATAATTTTAAAATTTTCCTATTTAGTTCAGTTCAGTTCAGTTGCTCAGTCATGTCTGACTCTTTGCGACCCCATGAATCGCAGCATGCCAGGCCTCCCTGTCCATCACCAACTCCCAGAGTTTACTCAAATTCATGTGCATCGAGTCGGTGATGCCATCCAGCCATCTCATCCTCTATCATCCCCTTCTCCTCCTGCCCCCAATCCCTCCCAGCATCAGGGTCTTTTCCAATGAGTCAACTATCCATAAATAGAAGAAATTTGCTATTAGCAGATAATAACAACTACATTTAACACTGTGATTTTTCATTACAATCTATATGAAATTATATAGTGAACAAAGATTAGATAATATAACAAACTTACTTCAAATTCACACCTTAATATGAGAAGACAAGATGAACATGAATTGGGTAAAGTGAAAGTACTCCCATAAAGTATAACAAATAGCATCTGTAAATCAGTGTTAAAATTCTTTTCTTCCAAGGATTATCTGAGAAAAGAAACTGTCTCCATAGAGGCAACAAGATATCTCTCAAAAAAAGATGAGTTTATTTTCTCCTAGCTCAGCTATCCTTAAATACACTTCTGAGAGTTTGATGTAGGGGAGGGATAAAGATCCACTGCACACCACCACCTGTTTCTTCGAGGGAAAGGGGGCTCTCGAAGGCTATACTTATTTCTGGTTTCAAGAACTCTGACATTTCCCCCTTCTTTAACCCACCAAATACATTAAGTAGTATTTAGGGCACATGAGACTCATGTATTATTCGCATCCTCTCTAGCACTGTTTGAGCTATATCACGCCTGACCTGAACATGTATACCGTATATTTTTTCCATCATCACCACAAGGAATGCAATTCATACAGTGAGACCAGGTAATAGGACCTGCAGCAGCTATAGAGAATATGTTGAGGAGTCAGAAAAGAGGATAAGGTATCCCAGTGGGACTTGTTAAATCCTGTTCTTTAGTTTCCAGAGATTCTGAGCTCAGGGGGATGTGGGAAGAAAGACCAAGGTTCCCCTAGGTCTGTAACTACTATCATTTTCTCTTCTTCCTGAAATGGAAATTAACTGACCTCAAGTCACTATGGCCTACCCAGCTGGCACAGTGGTAAAGAATCTGCCTGCAATGCAGGAGACTTGGGTTCAATCCCTTGGTCAGAAAGATACCCTGGAGTAGGAAATAGCAACCCGCTCCAGTATTCATGCCTAGAAAATCCCATGGAGAGAAGAGACGGCAAGCTACAGTCCATGGGGTGTCAAAGAGTCAGACACAACTGAACAATAACACCATTCCTATATTCAAATAATAAAGTAGATAGAAAATAATTTCCTAAATTAGAGCTGTTTTAGTGTGCACAGAAACAAATTAAGGAAATAATAGGCCAATTATCTTTTACTCTGAGTGTAATGACCTCCAGTAGGTCTGTAGGTAGGAAAAGAAGATTTTCCTCATCAAATCTGTTCAGTTAAAGGCTTATTGGTGACAAGAGTCTAAATTATACCCTCACATATTGGAAAGAAGCTGCTCCCTATATTATCATTTTAAAAATTTTTACTTGGGGTCATATTATGTTTTATTACTATTATTGTATATATAGAACTTTTCCCTATTTTGTCATCAGTCTTATCTATTTTAGTGGCATTTGTAAAAAGAACTAGGCTTTTATTTTAATGATCTTTATAATTCCTTACTTTATAAATAAAGTCTGCTCTTAAATAAATTATGCCCTCTCTTTATTTTAATTCTTGGTTTGTATATTCCTGAGTTGATCATTAAGTGTGGTTTTAAAAAATAATTTGCACTTTATAATACCATTTTAGCTATACATCTTGTTTGTTGGCCAGAAATTTTATCATTAACATGTCAATAAAACATAAATTACACAGAAGTATATTTTTGGTTTCCAAATATTTGTATTATCTCTTTGTTAATTTTAAATGTATTGTGGTAAAATAATGAGTCCTAGTGATGTTGATGTTTTGAAAATCTAAAAGGTTTTTTTTTTAAACACATTTGATTTTTGCCATTTTTATACTGATTTTAATGTGATATATATTTTCATTAAAGTCATGGTTCTCAGATCTTGTACCTGGGGAGCCTTAAAAAATACTGACACTTAGGACCCATCACCAGAGACTGATTTATTTAGTCTGTGAGTGCCCACAGGTTTTCCAGAGCCCCTAGGTGATTCAAAGTTAAGCCAAGGGCAAGAGCCCCTTTCATATTTTTTTATTCTCTTCCCTTTTTCTTTCATTTTTTGCTTTCTTTTTTATTCTTCAGAAATCCTCATTTCAACACCGGATTTCCACTGACTATATTTTCTGTAGGTTCATAGGCTACACTGACAGATTTTGTTGCATATCTACCAGGTTAATGAGAACAACATATTTTATTTCAGGATTATAAATTTCACTTTCTTTGGGCTCATTTTCCTTGAAGGTTTTTGATGACATTAACTGGGTGGTTATCCATTCAAGACGAGAGCTGGATGCTGTTATTATCATTGCTCTCATGGTCAACAAAATCAATCCTCTAATGAAAGGCAAAATCCTCCCTCATGAATTAATGCCTTCAAAAGAAAATTGAATTCCTCAAAACTGTTCTTATTCTGCCTCTTTGATGAGGTTCATCCCATTGGACCTCCTCACTACTATGAAAGTGAAGTGTTAGTTGCTCAGTCATGTCTGACTCTTTGCAACTCCATGGACTGTAGCCCACCAGGCTCCTCCGTCTATGGGATTT